ACAATAACAAATTTGTTGATTTCCAGCATAAAATGCATCGACACATACTCACACGCAGCCAGATCAAAGGACAACAACACCCGGAATGTTGTTGTTGCTGCATGTTGTTATAATATTTTTTTAAATTGAATTTAATAAAATTAGTAAACAAAACAGCATTGTGTTTGTTGTTGTTATTGTAGTCTCCCATTTTAGTTTATAGCTACTCCAATGCAAGTCGAGATGTCCACACATACACACGCATATTTTTAATTAAGTGGTAATCAAATGTGATTTTATTTCAGTATCTACGCCGACTCCAGTAGCGAATGTGGGCGGAATACTCAGCTGGTCATGCAGGTTGTAACTCACCGAAATTATTTTTTTCGAGGACTATTGGAGCTATAAACGTAGATTTTTAAATTATTTTTTTCGAGGACTATTGGAGCCATAAGCGTGGATTTTTAAATTATTTTTTTCAAGGACTATTGGAGCCAAAAGCGTGGATTTTTAAATTATGTTTTTCGAGGACTATTGGAGCCATAAGCGCGGATTTTTAAATTAATTTTTTTCCAGGACTATTGGAGCCATAAGCGCGGATTTTTAAATTATTTTTTTGAGGACTATTGGAGTCATAAGCGTGGATTTTTAAATTATTTTTTCGAGGACTATTGGTGCCATAAGCTTGGATTTTTAAATCATTTTTTTGATGACTATTGGAACCATAACCATGGATTTGTAATCTGTGTTTTAAGACTATTGGAGTCATAAGCGTGGATTCTTTAATTATTTTTTTTTCAATAACTCTTGGAGCCTTAAGCATGGATTGTTAAAATATTTTTTTCGAGAACCAGAGGCATAAACGAGGATTTTAAAATTATTTTTTTTTAAGGACTTCTTGAGCCACAACCGTGGATTTTTAAATTATTTTTTTCAAGGACTTATTAAGCCACAACCGCGGATTTTTAAATTATTTTTTTCAAGGACTTCTTAAGCCACAACCGTGGATTTTTAAATTATTTTCTTCAAGGATTATTTAAATAATTTTCTTCGGATATTCGTTTAAGAACAATTAGAGCTATAGTGAATATTAGAAAAATTTTTTTTTAAGAATTATCAGGGATATTTAAATTAAGAAGTACAAGGATATTTTAGGCCATATAAATATATAGATTATATAAAAACTATTTTTTCAAGGACCATCAGTTGAAGAAACCTGGATTTTTAAAAATATATTTTCAGTCAGTTAAAGAAACTTGGATTTTTTAAAGAATATTTTTTCATGGACCATCAAAAACGTGGAGTTTTTAAAGAATATTTTTTAAAGGACCATCAGAAACGTGGAGTTTTTAAAGAATATTTTTTCAACGACCATTAGTAGAAGAAACGTAGATTGTTTAAAGAATATTTTTTTAACGACCATCAGTTGAAGAAACGTGGATGTTTTAAAGAATATTTTTTCAACGACCATCAGTTGAAGAAGCGTGGATTTTTTAAAGAATATTTTTTTAACGACCATCAGTTGAAGAAACGTGGATTTTTTAAAGAATATTTTTTCAACGACCATCAGTTGAAGAAACGTGGATTTTTTAAAGAATATTTTTTCAACGACCATCAGTTGAAGAAACGTGGATTTTTTAAAGAATATTTTTTCAACGACCATCAGTTGAAGAAACGTGGATTTTTTAAAGAATATTTTTTCAACGACCATCAGTTGAAGAAACGTGGATTTTTTAAAGAATATTTTTTCAACGACCATCAGAAACGTGGATTTTTTAAAGAATATTTTTTCAACGACCATCAGAAACGTGGATTTTTTAAAGAATATTTTTTCAACGACCATCAGAAACGTGGATTTTTTAAAGAATATTTTTTCAACGACCATCAGAAACGTGGATTTTTTAAAGAATATTTTTTCAACGACCATCAGAAACGTGGATTTTTTAAAGAATATTTTTTCAACGACCATCAGAAACGTGGATTTTTTAAAGAATATTTTTTCAACGACCATCAGAAACGTGGATTTTTTAAAGAATATTTTTTCAACGACCATCAGAAACGTGGATTTTTTAAAGAATATTTTTTCAACGACCATCAGAAACGTGGATTTTTTAAAGAATATTTTTTCAACGACCATCAGAAACGTGGATTTTTTAAAGAATATTTTTTCAACGACCATCGGTTGAAGAAACGTGGATTTTTTAAAGAATATTTTTTCAACGACCATCAGTTTAAGAAACGTGGATTTTTTAAAGAATATTTTTTCAACGACCATCAGAAACGTGGATTTTTTAAAGAATATTTTGCAACGACCATCAGAAACGTGGATTTTTTCCAGAATATTTTTTCAACGACCATCAGAAACGTGGATTTTTTAAAGAATATTTTTTCAACGACCATCAGTTTAAGAAACGTATATTTTTTAAAGAATATTTTTTCAACGACCATCAGAAACGTGGATTTTTTAAAGAATATTTTGCAACGACCATCAGAAACGTGGATTTTTTCCAGAATATTTTTTCAACGACCATCAGAAACGTGGATTTTTTAAAGAATATTTTTTCAACGACCATCAGTTTAAGAAACGTATATTTTTTAAAGAATATTTTTTCAACGACCATCAGAAACGTGGATTTTTTAAAGAATATTTTGCAACGACCATCAGAATCGTGGATTTTTTAAAGAATATTTTTTCAACGACCATCAGAAACGTGGATTTTTTAAAGAATATTTTTTCAACGACCATCAGTTGAAGAAACGTGTATTTTTTCAAGAAAATTTTTTCAACGACCATCAGTTGAAGAAACGTGTATTTTTAAAAGAATATTTTTTCAACGACCATCAGTTGAAGAATCGTGGATTTTTTAAATTATATATTTTCAAGAATATATTTCAGTTGAAGAAACATGGACTTTTTAGAAATTTTTTTTTTTAATGACCATCAGTTAAAGAAACGTGGATTTTTTAAAAAATATTTTTCAAGGACCTTCAGTTGAAGAAACTTGGATTTTTTAAAAAATATTTTTCAAAGACCTTCAGTTGAAGAAACGTGGATTTTTAAAAAATATTTTTCAAAGACCTTCATTTGAAGAAACGTGGATTTTTAAAAAATATTTTTCAAAGACCTTCATTTGAAGAAACGTGGATTTTTAAAAAATATTTTTGCAAGGACAATCAGAAACGTGGATTCTTAAAAAATATTTTTGCAAGGACAATCAGAAACGTGGATTTTTAAAAAATATTTTTTCAAGGACAATCAGAAACGTGGATTTTTAAAAAATATTTTTGCAAGGACAATCAGAAACGTGGATTTTTAAAAAATATTTTTGCAAGGACAATCAGGAACGTGGATTTTTTTAAAAATATTTTTTCAAAGCCTGTTATAAACGTGGATTTTTTTAAAAATATTTTTTCAAAGTCTGTTATAAACGTGGATTTTTTAAAGAAATATTTTTGCAAGGACAATCAGGAACGTGGATTTTTTTAAAAATATTTTTTCAAAGCCTGTTATAAACGTGGATTTTTTTAAAAATATTTTTTCAAAGTCTGTTATAAACGTGGATTTTTTAAAGAAATATTTTTGCAAAGACTGTTATAAACGTGATTTTTAAAAAATATTTTTTTCAGTCAGTTGAAGAAGCGTGGATTTTTTTAAAAAATATTTTTTCAGTCAGTTGAATAAACGTGGCTTTTTTAAAAAATATTTTTATGTTATAAACGTGGATTTTTTAAAAAAATATTTTTATGTTATAAACGTGGATTTCTTAAAAAATATTTTTATGTTATAAACGTGGATTTTTTAAAAAATATTTTTATGTTATAAACGTGGATTTTTTAAAAAATATTTTTTGTTATAAACGTGGATTTTTTAAAAAATATTTTAATGTTATAAACGTGGATTTTTTAAAAAATATTTTAATGTTATAAACGTGGATTTTTTAAAAAATATTTTAATGTTATAAACGTGGATTTTTTAAAAAATATTTTTTTTAAAGACTGTTATAAAAGTGGATTTTTTAAAAAAATATTTTTTAAAGACTGTTATAAACGTGGGTTTTTTAAAAAAATATTTTTTCAAAGACTGTTATAAAAGTGGATTTTTTAAAAAATATTTTTTTAAGACAACCAGATTACAAACTTTGATTTTTTAAAAAATATTTTTTCAAGTTGGTGAAACGTGGATTTTTTAAAAATTATTTTTTCAAGGACCATCATTTGAAGAAGCGTGAATTTTTTTTTTTATTTTTTTTTTTTTTTTTGTTTTTCCAAGCCATGCTTTGTTTTATTTTTGATGTAGGGTGTCGGCCCTCCCAGAATAATTTTAAATAATTTTTTTTATCTCAAAACATTTTATAAAGTTGTTGTTGTTATCATTGGTGTTGTCGACATTATGGCTGTTGCTACTCAACTTGTGGGGGGTTGACTGCTGCTGCCAAAGGTTAGGGGGATCGTTATGATTTACATTTTAATTTTTTTTTTGGTTTTTTTTTTTTTTTTTTTTTTTTTTTTTTTGCTGCAGCATTGTAATGACACAAATGCATACAATTTGTGAGCAGACAATGTGACGCAGAGATTAAACGCATTAACAACATCATTATCATCAAGATTGAACGCTCACAATTGAGCTGAGCTAAGCTGTGTGCGATGAATGGTGTCTAGAATTTTGGAGACATTTCGGTGAGAGTCGTCAGAACATTTATGCGCTACTACAACAACACACAACTACAGCAACAACAACGAATTACAAATTTCACATGAATTTCAATTCGACGGCGAAAAAACAAAATTTCATTCTACAGATCAGTTCGAGCTATACAACGACAACGTTTAAACGTGCCTTAACGCTAGGAAACGAAACAGAAAAAAACTCAGAATTGCGGAAAACGGAAATTAGAAAAAAACGCAAAACAACAACAACAAAGTTCTGAAAGTGAAAGTGTCTGGAGAAAATGGAAGTCATGATATAAGAAAAAAATATTTATTAAAAAAATAAAAATTTAAAAACAAATACCTCCCAAAGAAAAAAATTATTTGCTCCGCCAACCATGTCCTCCCCTTGGAAGTGTTTAAAAATTTTAGTTTTCCTAAATTTATTCTTGATTTGTGCCATGGCCAAGGCCAATGATAATGGCTTGAAAATAAATACCGATTTAACAGCTGGCATTATCGGTGATGTTAGCGCCGATAACACGAAACAAATTTTGGGTGATTCCATTAACCCCCCAACAAATCACAGCCAACATGTTGCAGTTGCCAGCAAACCGACTGTGGCTGTGCAACCCAATGCCGCCTCTTCGTTGGAGGATAAACACATCTGCACCCGCGAAGAAGAATATGTGGAACAGATACGTTCACCCTCAATGCAACCGGTTAAGATACGCACCGCCACCTGGTGTTTGGAATTTCCACCGCGCTGTTCGAATTACCAAACGGAAATGCGGGAAATTGTCAACGTGCAGGTGGGTGAAAATGAAAAATATTAGCATGGCAAAATAAAAAAAATGCAATTGTATAGAACGTTATTTTATTACAATCCTACTTCTTAAAACGAAACCTGGAGAAAAATGTTGAAGTTGCAAGGAAAATAACTCCATATTGAAGCCGAAGGTTTAAACTTTTAGAAATAAAGAAAAATTATTATACGTCTCATGGCCTTTAAAAAATATTTTTTTTAAATCCACGTCTCATGGCCTTTAAAAAATATTTTTTATAAAATCCACGTCTCATGGCCTTTAAAAAATATTTTTTTTTATAAAATCCACGTATCATGGCCTTTAAAAAATATTTTTTTATAAAATCCACGTCTCATGGCCTTTAAAAAAATATATTTTTTATAAAATCCACGTTCCATGGCCTTTAAAAAAAAAATTTATAAAATCCACGTGTCATGGCCTTTAAAAAATATTTTTTATAAAATCCATGTCTCATGGCCTTTAAAAAAAAAATTTATAAAATCCACGTCTCATGGCCTTTAAAAAATATTTTTTATAAAATCCATGTCTCATGGCCTTTAAAAAATATTTTTTATAAAATCCACGTCTCGTGGCTTTTAAAAAATATTTTTTATAAAATCCATGTCTCATGGCCTTTAAAAAAAAAATTTATAAAATCCACGTCTCATGGCCTTTAAAAAATATTTTTTATAAAATCCATGTCTCATGGCCTTTAAAAAATATTTTTTATAAAATCCACGTCTCGTGGCTTTTAAAAAATATTTTTATAAAATCCACGTCTCATGGCCTTTAAAAAATATTTTTTATAAAATCCACGTCTCATGGCCTTTAAAAAATATTTTTATAAAATCCACGTCTCATGGCCTTTAAAAATATTTTTATAAAATCCACGTCTCATGGCCTTTAAAAAATATTTTTTATAAAATCCACGTCTCATGGCCTTTAAAAAATATTTTTTATAAAATCCACGTCTCATGGCCTTTAAAAAATATTTTTTATAAAATCCACGTCTCATGGCCTTTAAAAAATATTTTTATAAAATCCACGTCTCATGGCCTTTAAAAAATATTTTTTATAAAATCTACGTCTCATGGCCTTTAAAAAATATTTTTTATAAAATCCACGTCTCATGGCCTTTAAAAATATTTTTTATAAAATCCACGTCTCATGGCCTTTAAAAAATATTTTTTATAAAATCTACGTCTCATGGCCTTTAAAAAATATTTTTTATAAAATCCACGTCTCATGGCCGTTGAAAAAATATTTTTTATAAAATCCACGTCTCATGGCCTTTAGAAAATATTTTTTTATAAAATCCACGTCTCATGGCCTTTAAAAAATATTTTTTATAAAATCCACGTCTCATGGCCTTTAAAAAATATTTTTTATAAAATCCACGTCTGATGGCCTTTAGAAAATATTTTTTTATAAAATCCACGTCTCAAGGCCTTTAAAAAATATTTTTTTATAAAATCCACGTCTCATGGCCTTTAAAAATAATTTTTTTATAAAATCCACGTATCATGGCCTTTAAAAAATATTTTTTTATAAAATCCACGTCACATGGCCTTTAAAAAATATTTTTTATAAAATCCACGTCTCATGGCCTATAAAAATATTTTTTATAAAATCCACGTCTCATGGCCTTTAAAAATATTTATTTTTATAAAATCCACGCATCATGGCCTTTAAAAAATATTTTTTATAAAATCCACGTCTCATGGCCTTTAAAAAATATTTTTTATAAAATCCACGTCTCATGGCCTTTGAAAATATTTATTTTTATAAAATCCACGTCTCATGGCCTTTAAAAAATATTTTTTTACAAAATCCACGTCTCATGGCCTTTAAAAAATATTTTTTATAAAATCCACGTCTCATGGCCTTTAAAAATATTTTTTTTTTATAAAATCCGCGTCTCATGGCCTTTAAAAATATTTTTTTTTTATAAAATCCGCGTCTCATGGCCTTAAAAAAAAATATTTTTTATAAAATCCGCGTCTCATGGCCTTAAAAAAATATTTTTTATAAAATCCGCGTCTCATGGCCTTAAAAAAATATTTTTTATAAAATCCACGTCTCATGGCCTTTAAAAAATATTTTGTTTTATAAAATCCACGTCTCATGGCCTTTAAAAAAAATATTTTTTACAAAATCCACGTCTCATGGCCTTTAAAAAATATTTTTTATAAAATCCACGTCTCATGGCCTTTAAAAAATATTTTTTATAAAATCCACGTCTCATGGCCTTTAAAAAATATTTTTTATAAAATCCACGTCTCATGGCCTTTAAAAAATATTTTTTATAAAATCCACGTCTCATGGCCTTTAAAAAATATTTTTTATAAAATCCACGTCTCATGGCCTTTAAAAAATATTTTTTATAAAATCCACGTCTCATGGCCTTTAAAAAATATTTTTTATAAAATCCACGTCTCATGGCCTTTAAAAAATATTTTTTATAAAATCCACGTCTCATGGCCTTTAAAAAATATTTTTTATAAAATCCACGTCTCATGGCCTTTAAAAAATATTTTTTATAAAATCCACGTCTCATGGCCTTTAAAAAATATTTTTTATAAAATCCACGTCTCATGGCCCTTAAAAAATATTTTTTATAAAATCCACGTCTCATGGCCTTTAAAAAATATTTTTTATAAAATCCACGTCTCATGGCCGTTGAAAAAATATTTTTTATAAAATCCACGTCTCATGGCCTTTAAAAAATATTTTTTATAAAATCCACGTCTCATGGCCTTTAAAAAATATTTTTTATAAAATCCACGTCTGATGGCCTTTAAAAAATATTTTTTATAAAATCCACGTCTGATGGCCTTTAGAAAATATTTTTTTATAAAATCCACGTCTCAAGGCCTTTAAAAAATATTTTTTTATAAAATCCACGTCTCATGGCCTTTAAAAATAATTTTTTTATAAAATCCACGTATCATGGCCTTTAAAAAATATTTTTTTATAAAATCCACGTCTCATGGCCTTTAAAAAATATTTTTTATAAAATCCACGTCTCATGGCCTTTAAAAATATTTTTTATAAAATCCACGTCTCATGGCCTTTAAAAATATTTATTTTATAAAATCCACGTATCATGGCCTTTAAAAAATATTTTTTTATAAAATCCACGTCTCATGGCCTTTAAAAAATATTTTTTATAAAATCCACGTCTCATGGCCTTTGAAAATATTTATTTTTATAAAATCCACGTCTCATGGCCTTTAAAAAATATTTTTTTACAAAATCCACGTCTCATGGCCTTTAAAAAATATTTTTTTACAAAATCCACGTCTCATGGCCTTTAAAAAAAAATTTTTATAAAATCCACGTCTCGTGGCCTTTAAAAATATTTTTTTTTTATAAAATCCGCGTCTCATGGCCTTAAAAATATTTTTTTTTTATAAAATCCGCGTCTCATGGCCTTAAAAAAAATATTTTTTATAAAATCCGCGTCTCATGGCCTTAAAAAAATATTTTTTATAAAATCCGCGTCTCATGGCCTTTAAAAAATATTTTTTTATAAAATCCGCGTCTCATGGCCTTTAAAAAATATTTTTTTATAAAATCCACGTCTCATGGCCTTTAAAAAATATTTTTTTATAAAATCCACGTCTCATGGCCTTTAAAAAATATTTTTTTATAAAATCCACGTCTCATGGCCTTTAAAAAATATTTTTTTATAAAATCCACGTCTCATGGCCTTTAAAAAATATTTTTTTATAAAATCCACGTCTCATGGCCTTTAAAAAATATTTTTTTTATAAAATCCACGTCTCATGGCCTTTAAAAAATATTTTTTTTATAAAATCCACGTCTCATGGCCTTTAAAAATTTTTTTTTTATAAAATCCACGTCTCATGGCCTTTAAAAAATATTTTTTTATAAAATCCACGTCTTATGGCCTTTAAAAAATATTTTTTTATAAAATCCACGTCTCATGGCCTTTAAAAAATATTTTTTTATAAAATCCACGTCTTATGGCCTTTAAAAAATATTTTTTTATAAAATCCACGTCTCATGGCCTTTAAAAAATATTTTTTATAAAATCCACGTCTCATGGCCTTTAAAAAATATTTTTTATAAAATCCACGTCTCATGGCCTTTAAAAATATTTTTTATAAAATCCACGTCTCATGGCCTTTAAAAAATATTTTTTATAAAATCCACGTCTCATGGCCTTTAAAAAATATTTTTTATAAAATCCACGTCTCATGGCCTTTGAAAAATATTTTTTATAAAATCCACGTCTCATGGCCTTTGAAAAATATTTTTTATAAAATCCACGTCTCATGGCCTTTAAAAAATATTTTTTATAAAATCCACGTCTCATGGCCTTTAAAAATTATTTTTTATAAAATCCACGTCTCATGGCCTTTAGAAAATATTTTTTTATAAAATCCACGTCTCATGGCCTTTAAAAAATATTTTTTATAAAATCCACGTCTCATGGCCTTTAAAAAATATTTTTTATAAAATCCACGTCTCATGGCCTTTAAAAAATATTTTTTTACAAAATCCACGTCTCATGGCCTTTAAAAAATATTTTTTTACAAAATCCACGTCTCATGGCCTTTAAAAAATATTTTTTATAAAATCCACGTCTCATGGCCTTTAAAAATATTTTTTTTTTATAAAATCACGTCTCATGGCCTTTAAAAAATATTTTCTATAAAATCCACGTCTCATGGCCTTTAAAAAATATTTTTTATAAAATCCACGTCTCATGGCCTTTAAAAAATATTTTTTATAAAATCCACGTCTCATGGCCTTTAAAAAATATTTTTTATAAAATCCACGTCTCATGGCCTTTAAAAAATATTTTTTATAAAATCCACGTCTCATGGCCTTTAAAAAATATTTTTTACAAAATCCACGTCTCATGACCTTTAAAAAATATTTTTTTATAAAATCCACGTCTCATGGCCTTTAAAAAATATTTTTTCTAAAATCCACGTCTCATGGCCTTTAAAAAATATTTTTTCTAAAATCCACGT